TCTTTCTCTGATGTAACTGTTACCATATGGAAAAGGGAAACTTTTTACTTGATAGAGGACAAATTGAAACAAGGTATTGTCAAAATTGCAAACAAAAATCCTTCTTCAATTCTGAAGTGACATTGGCAAGGAAAAATCCCAGGTAAGAATTTAAGACCACTTGAAACATCAGATTGAATGGTTTATTTTACCTCCTTTAGTATAATGGAAATCATAGTGTCGATGTCCTGCTGTTCATGTGTTCCTGAATTTGCCACTAGGACCAGGAGTCATATGGTTTCCTAAAGATCTTAGCTCAGATCCTTAGATGCAGAGGAGGAGTACTTAGAACAGCTGAAGGGGGCCCAAAGATGACTTTAAAGCACCTTTACAGTCACTCAATCCTGAAACTATCTTAATGATGGATTGCATAAATTAGAACAACCTAAAGTTTGCTGCAACCTACACCAGCTGCTGACAGCCCCCAGAAGCATAGCTGCTGGAACTAGGGGTGCTGGGGGTGCTGCTACACCCCCTGGCTTGTACTGATTTCCGTCATATACAGGGTTTACAGTTACATCTATTCATAATCTAGGATTGTGCCACATGGGCTAAATTATTGTGACATGGAAAAAAGGTGAATGTGTCAAAAATAGTATAGAATGACATTTCATATTGATTTATGTTATTCTTTCTCTTTGGTATCAATGCCCTTTGCCTGTTTAGTGTATCTATATCTACATCCTCAGCATTTTAGCTAGCTTTGATAAGGGGATTTTATTACAGTGTCAATAAGATTCTAATTATACAATTTGAGATTGTAAATTTCGAAGTCTCCCTCTCTACCCCTCAAGCCCAACCAGTGATTTTGGACCTGCAGTTTGTGTGTATAAACATGTGTGCTTGCAAAAATCTGCTTATATAAATGATTTTAAATTTCCTGTTTGGGTTAGTGGTTACTGTTTGCAGTACTAATTCTGTCATTCACATGCTTAAATTACTGGGGGTTTTTAAAGTAGGTGCTTATTTAGAAGCTGTTAATATGTGACCTTTTTAAAATTAATTTGGCAGGAAATCATTCTTTGACTAGCATTTCATTTACTTGCTGAAAATGATTGCTTTCTGTGAAATGAGACCCATTTATTAAGAAGCGTTACAGCTAGAAGACCCATAGCTGAAGCTGAAGATTTAGAAGCTGTGAAAAGTGGTTAACTAGGAAGAGCATATTGCATATGTTTAAACCTAAAATAACCATATTTGAACCTAAATCACTGTCCACACAATAAATCATCTTCATATCTCTCCTTAAATTAATGTGACCCTGATGAAGCAAAGAGCACTAAATAGATTATGTTGGCTATATAGGCCTTAGTAGTTCACTTTATTGCCATGAGCTTTTATTTAGTTTACAAAGTAATTTATTGCTTCTTCCAATGGCTCAAGGGATTTTGAACATATATAGAATTCCTTGTTTACTGATGAAGTCTGTCAAAAAGTCTTTCAGATATTTTAATTCAGTCTTCCTATCTTTGGTAATAACTGTGCTAAAACATGGTAGTATCCATGTTTATTGGCTGTGAAATATATTTGAAAATATCTCATCTGCCTTTTAATTCTAAATCTAGTTCCAATAAAGAGATTGAGAAAGATTTATATAATAGCTAATTCTATATTTAATCTTCTGTTACCATAAATGTAAGTGTACTTTTACTATTGCACCATTAGCACATTCCTTTTTGTGCTGATTATCAGTCATTTGTTAGTTTACAATAGTAAAGATGAAAGGTGCTGGATAGGCAGCTCTGGAAACCAAAATCATAATCCACAGAACAACTGAAACTGTAGCACAAGCAGTAGCAATGTAAACTTTCAGCACACTGCACTCTATCAGGGTGCTTCAACCCTGTTTAAGAGAGTTTATTACCTCTGGGGGGAGATAATTTTAACTTATGTCTACACTACAAACCATTACAGTGGCACAGCTGTATTGCTACAGCTGCGCTGCTGTACGGTCTCCCATGTAGCTGCTCTATGCCGATGGGGGAGAGCTCTCCTGTCAGCATAATTAAACCATCCCAGATGAGCAGCAGTAGCTATGTTGGAGAGAGTGCATCTTTTGTCAGTGAAACTTATGTTGGTCAGGGGGTTGCTTTTTCATACCCCTGGCCAACAAAAGTTTCACCGGCAAAACTGTTAGTGTAGAAATAGTCTTAGTTCAGTCTCCCTACCATTCAGGTCTCAATCTCTCTGATGGCAAAGTTGCCAGCTGAGGGGAGGTATTTTTTAAAAAACTTATTCACTGGGACAGTGGTTTTCAAACTTTTTTCACTTGTGGACCCTAAAAAATTTCAAATGGAGGTGCGTCAGCAGACCACAGGTTGAAAACCACTGCATTAGAAGATGGACACAGACCCTCAATCCATTTCAAATAGACCACTGAACAACAGACATCAGTGCATTTGGATCAGAGGTATCTAGAGGTGAAAGGCTTTCTATCCACAACCAACTCTTTAAGCTGGTCTGTTCTTCTTCTGTGCAAAAATGAAGATTTCTAGAAGTGCTCAGCAAAACTGAGCTCATGTACATTTGCAAGTTTCAAGGACTAAAAATTATAGTTACATACAATTTTAGACTGCAGATCTTTTCCCTGAAAAGAAAATGTCTTTGTTTTTATGTGGAATTTTAAGAGAGGATGTGTGATTTTAAGATTGAATCCAAAGAACTATTTCTGCCAGACCAGAAGTGTGAACATGCCAAAAATTCTGCACCTTTGGGAAATTAAAAGCAAGCAAGCAAACAAACAACAAACCCTGAAAGGTAAAAAATGTGGAAATGAAGTTAAGAGACACAGCCAATTCCCCATTGACATAACCCATCACCTCATCTGATTTACATCCTGCACTTGACCTTAACTTTGTCCCCTTGTTTTGTTTTGTAATGGAATTATGCTGTTTGTATATTGTTTTATAAATATATTAAAAGTAAAGATTGCATTCTCTTTTTATGTTATCTTTTTATTAAAAGAACTGTTGTCAGTAAAGGTACTTTCTTATCTTTGTTAGCAGTTTTGTGGTAGCTGTGTTACACGGTAGGAGAGAGACAGCTTCTGTTGGTGGAACATACAAGCTTTTGAGCTGCACAGAGCTCTTCCTCAGGTCTGTGAAAGGAGATCAGAGTGTCTGAGCTAAATACAAGTTGGGACAGAATGGATAAGGCATCTTGGAGGTGCTCACTTGAAATAAAGTGGGCAATTGAGGGTTAGATTGTTATGCATAAAGGGACTGAAAAGGGCAATTAAGGGTATCAGGCAGTGTGGTGTGTTACAGATTGTTGTAATGAGCCATAAAACCAGTGTCCCTGCCAAGCCCATGGTTTTTGGTGTCTACCAGAATTATGGATTTAAGTTCCCAGGCTCGCCTTTTGTCGGTATTGTGGAGGTTTCCTTTGAGGGCAGGTATTGAAAGCTCAGCTATGGAGTAAGCACCTCTCGGGATCCACAGGTCCCACATATGCCTATCACTACAGGTGTTGTACCTCCTCCAGTGCACTAAATGCTCCAATGACAACTATGTGGGTGAAAGCAGACAAGCCGGGCCTCTGGCATGAACTCACACAGAAAGATGGTAAAATACAAAACTACCTTATTACACCAGAGTGAACCTTTTTCATAAAGTGAGCACTCCCTCTCTGTGGCTCTAGTCTGAGGGGAAAAGTGCCCTAAGAAGAGACAGGGCAGGTCCTAGAGGGGTGAGATGGGGGCTGAGCTCCAGAATAAAGGGGGTTGGTGTGTGCAGGGGGTGGGGTAGCGCTCCAGTGGGGGCGGGGAGCAGGGCAGTCAGCCAGTCCAGATCTGTCTGTCAGTGCGCAGCCCCCCCCCCCCCCCCTTGGAGCTCCCATCACAGCGCCCTGGCCGCCCCAGTCCCTGGCGGCTGGAGCTGGGGAGCCGGGGTGCTTGCGCAGAGGCAGCGCCAGCGTGGACTGTCCCGGGAGCGTCGGGAGCAGCGAGCTTGGCTGTGAGGTTTGCAGCAGGGTGTAGTGTAATAAAATTGCTCCATGTAGGAATGTGCTACTAGTAGCAGTTATTGATATGTAATGGATTGTAAGAAAGTGCTATCTCCCACTACGAGAAAGGGACCAAGTGACCTTCTCCGTTGGATCATATGAACTGGAACCATAAACTCCCTGAACATTAAATCTCACCAAATGAGGGTCAATCCATCCTCATCATCATATCCACTCATTATAATCCACACCTGAACATAGCCACTTTATGAACTTCATACCCTCATATCTCAATGTCTATACTTTGACCCATCAACCTTTTACCCCCAATCGGGGATATTGCCGATTATGTATTCCTCATGCCACCTTATCTTAAACCAAACTTTGCACCTTCGATAATCTGTATGTTATTCCCTGATAACCAGAAACTTCTATGCGCAAACTCTGTTCACTATTTTTTTTAACATCATCTTAATAACATTTTTAACTGCTATCTGATGTAGCAAATGCCTACAGGTAGCAGTTTCTTGCACTACAATATATATATATAGTATACAAAAAAGCCACTTTGCTCAAATAAAAAAGCCTCTCACTCCCTCCACAAACTATTTTGCAAAGCACTGGTGTCTCAGTGCCACTGGGGTAACTACTACCCCCTCTGCCCCTGCCTGTGCCGGGTTTTGCCCCCTGACACCGCCTCACCCTTGGGCTTAACTCCTCCTCCTCCCCACCTCATTCCTGATTTTGCCTTTTAACCCCTTTCCTAATGCTGCCTCCAGCTGCTTGACCCCCCCTGACCAGTCAATTTCCACCCCCTGCTCAGACCCTGGCCACCCCCCTGCTCTGATTCGCCCTCTTTTTAACCCCCTGTCAAAAGCAGCCCGCAGAATCCTAAGGCTAACAAGGGCAGGGTGAAGGGCAGTGGCTTCAGCAGATGTACTGATCATGCGCAGTTCATGCTCAGTACACAGTAAATAGCACATTACTACGGAGAGCAATTTACTACAGTGCACCTCGCCGGAGCGGGGTGGATCGTGCGCCGCTCCTGGAGCGGAGAGAGGAGCGCGGCGCGGCCCAGCTGGGCGAGGTCTGTGCCCTGGGCTGCCCCTCTGCCGGGGCGGGAGGTTGGCGGGGGCACCGGGGGCGTGTGATGGGGGACTGGCAGGCGGTGCCGGGGGGGGGAGGGGGTGGGGGGGAGTGGCAGGCGGTACCCGGGGTGGTTTCTTGCTTAGCAATTCTTACAAGTCCTTCCTCTGCCGCCCCGAAAGTTCGGAGTTGGTGCTGCCAGTGTTTCTTCTCTTCTTTTAGGGGGTTAGGTGCTCGGGAAAGTTTGCTGTGGGACTGCAGTTAGTTGAGAGAGCCTGTGTATGGTGTGTTGGGGGAGGCAGCTTGCAATGCTGGCTGTCCGGGGGAGTGTTATGGGAGTTTCTTGTCTGATTTCTGTTCTGGCCCATTGTGCTGCTGAAAATCAACAAAGGGGGTGTCTGTTTTGCAGGCAGCAGCAGGATATGAGTGGCAGATGTGGGGGAGGGAGTTGCTTTTGCTCGCATTCTGTGTTCAGCATTTGACTCTTTTGGGAGGTGAGAAAAAAGATCCTTTCAGCTCTTTTCCCCCCCCCCCCCCCCAGTCATCTGATGATGTGTGTTTGTGACTGAGCTGTTTTGTGGATGGTGGCCCTGCCTTGGATTGACATAACTGGGGCAAAAATCTGTCGGGGGCTTGATCCTGCTTTGAGCAGGGGGTTGGACTAGATGACCTCCTGAGGTCCCTTCCAACCCTAATAGTCTATGATTCTATGAACTATGGATTGTTTTTTAAAAAAACGGTGATCCCAGTGTTTGGGTCTGTCACTGTAGTTTTAGTACTGCATTCAGTTTTAGGCAGCTGGTTATCAGGAAGATAGAGGGAATTTAAGGGAAGAGTGAAACCCAATGTCTGTAGCTGGAGATTAATGAGGAAAGTTAGAAGCGTGTACGTAATGTGTGTAGATAAAGATATACATATGGTGGGTGGATTGCCTGACTTAGAATCATAGAATATCAGGGTTGGAAGGGACCTGAGGAGGTCATCTAGTCCAACCCCCTGCTCAAAGCATGACCTAATCCCAATTAAATCATCCCTGCCAGGGCTTTGTCAAGCCTGTCCTTAAAAACCTCTAAGGAAGGAGATTCCACCACCTCCCTAGACCACCCTCCTAGTGAAAGTGTGTTTCCTAATATCCAACCTTAACCTCCCCCACTGCAACTTGGGACCATTACTCCTCCTTGTTCTGTCATCTGGTACCACTGAGAACAGTCTAGATCCATCCTCTTTGGAACCCCCTTTCAGGTAGTTGAAAGCAGCTATCAAATCCCCCCTCATTCTTCTCTCCTGGAGACTAAACAATCCCAGTTCCCTCAGCCTCTCCTCATAAGTCATGTGCTCCAGCCCCCTAATCATTTTTGTTGCCCTCCGCTGACTCTTTCCAATTTTTCCACATCCTTGTAGTGTGGGGCCCAAAACTGGACACAGTACTCCAGGTGAGGTCTCACCAATGTTGAATAGAAGGGAACAATCATGTCCCTCGATCTGCTGGCAATGCCCCTACTTATACAGCCCAAAATGCCGTTAGCCTTCTTGGCAACAAGGGCATACTGTTGACTCATATCCAGCTTCTCGTCCACTGTAACCCCTAGAACCTTTTCTGCAGAACTGCTGCCTAGCCACTCGGTCCCTAGTCTGTAACAGTGAATGGGATTCTTCTGTCCTAAGTGCAGGACTCTGCACTTGTCCTTGTTGAACCTCACCAGGTTTCTTTTGGCCCAATCCTCTAATTTGTCTAGGTCCCTCTGTATCCTATCCCTACCCTCCAGCATATCTACCACTCCTCCCAGTTTAGTGTCATCTGCAAACTTGCTGAGAGTGCAGTCCACGCCATCCTCTAGATCATTAATGAAGATATTGAACAAAACCGGCCCCAGGACCGACCCTTGGGGCACTCCGCTTGAAACCAGCTGCCAACTAGACATGGAGCCATTGATCACTACCCTTTGAGCCCGACAATCTAGCCAGCTTTCTATCCACCTTATAGTCCATTCATCCAGCCCATACTTCTTTAACTTGGTGGCAAGAATACTGTGGGAGACCTTATCAAAAGCTTTTTTTAAAGTCAAGGAATAACACATCCACTGCTTTCCCCTCATCCACAGAGCCAGTTATCCCTTCATAGAAGGCAGTTAGGTTAGTCAGGCATGACTTGCCCTTGGTGAATCCATGCTGACTGTTCCTGATCACTTTCCTCTCCTCTAAGTGCTTCAGAATTGATTCCTTGAGGACCTGCTCCATGATTTTTCCAGGGACTGAGGTGAGGCTGACTGGCCTGTAGTTCCCCGGATCCTCCTCCTTCCCTTTTTTAAAGATGGGCACTACATTAGCCTTTTTCCAGTCATCCGGAACCTCCCTCGATGGCCATGAGTTTTCAAAGATAATGGCCAATGGCTCTGCAATCACATCCGCCAACTTCTTTAGCACCCTCAGATGCAGCGCATCTGGCCCCATGGACTTGTGCTCGTCCAGTTTTTCTAAATAGTCCCGAACCACTTCTTTCTCCACAGAGGGCTGGTCACCTTCTCCCCATACTGTGCGGCCCAGTGCAGCAGTCTGGGAGCTGACCTTGTTCGTGAAGACAGAGGCAAAAAAGTCATTGAGTACATTAGCTTTTTCCAGATCCTCTATCACTAGGTTGCCTCCCTCATTCAGTAAGGGGCCCACACTTTCCTTGACTTTCTTCTTGTTGCTAACATACCTGAAAAAACACTACTTGTTACTCTGAACATCCCTTGCTAGCTGCAACTCCAAGTGTGATTTGGCCTTCCTGATTTCACTCCTGCATGCCTGAGCAATATTTTTGTACTCCTTCCTGGTCATTTATCCAATCTTTCATTTCTTGTAAGCTTCTTTTTTGCATTTAAGATCAGCAAGGATTTCTCTGGTTAGCCAAGCTGGTCGCCTGCCATATTTACTATTCTTTCTACACATCGGGATTGTTTTTTTTCCTGCAACCTCAATAAGGATTCTTTAAAATACAGCCAGCTCTCCTGGACTCCTTTCCCCCTCATGTTGTTCTCCCAGGGGATCCTACCCATCAGTTCCCTGAGGGAGTCAAAGTCTGCTTTTTCTGAAGTCCAGGGTCCGTATTCTGCTGCTCTCCTTTCTTCCTTGTGTCAGGATCCTGAACTGGACCATCTCATGGTCACTGCCTCCCAGGTTCCCATCCACTTTTGCTTCCCCTACTAATTCTTCCTGGTTTGTGAGCAGCAGGTCTAGAAGAGCTAGTTGGTTCCTCCAGCACTTGCACCAGGAAATTGTCCCCTACACTTTCCAAAAACTTCCTGGATTGTCTGTGAACCGCTGTATTGCTCTCCCAGCAGATATCAGGGTGATTAAAGTCTCCCATGAGAACCAGGGCCTGCGATCTAGTAACTTCTGCTAGTTGCCGGAAGAAAGCCTCGTCCCCCTGGTCTGGTGGTCTATAGCAGACTCCGACCACGACATCACCCTTGTTGCTCACACTTCTCAACTTTATCCAGAGACTCTCAGGTTTTTCTGCAGTTTCATACCGGAGCTCTGAGCAGTCATACTCCTCTCTTACATACAATGCAACTCCCCCACCTTTTCTGCCCTGACTGCCCTTCCTGAACAGTTTGTATCCATCCATGACAGTACTCCAGTCGTGTGAGTTATCCCACCAAGTCTTTGTTATTCCAATGACATCATAGTTCCTTGACTGTGCCAGGACTTCCAGTTCTCCCTGCTTGTTTCCCAGGCTTCTGGCATTTGTGTATAGGCACTTAAGATACTCGCTGATTGTCCCACTTTCTCAGTCTGAGACAGGAGTCCTCCCCTCTTGCACTCTCCTGCTCGTGCTTCCTCCCGGTATCCCATTTCCCCACTTACCTCAGGGCTTTGGTCTCCTTCCCCCGGTGAACCTAGTTTAAAGCCCTCCTCACTAGGTTAGCCAGCCTGCTTGCAAAGATGTTCTTCCCTCTCTTCGTTAGGTGGAGCCTGTCTCTGCCTAGCACTCCTCCTTCTTGGAACACCATCCCATGGTCGAAGAATCCAAAGCCTTCTCTCCGACACCACCTGCATAGCCATTCGTTGACTTCCACAATTATAAGACCCTGTTTTCAGTTGCTTATAACCGTATTGAACTTTAACTGTTTGGAAATTTTCCATCCTGGGTTCCAGCCTCAGGTTGTATTTTTTTAAAAACTTTGTTTTGTTTTTTAATTTTAACGAGGCTAGGAAAGAATATGTTCTGCCCATCTTAAAAAATTCTAGTGACCTCCTTGTTTGGAAAGCTCAGCTACTCTCATGCTTTGGACCGGGGACTTGAAATTTGGCTTGTAAGTGGCCTTTATGTTAGAAATGTGCCTCTAGCCATCCCTGTTAACCACACAAATTTGGCTAAGTTATAAGCCTTTGAAAAATTGCAGTTGTCATATGCTTAGTAGGCACTTCTAAGATTTTAGCTAAATTCCCTGAAGATTCTGTCCACACTAGGCATGCTTCAGGCAGCACCTGAGCAGAACGTTTCCTGTAATTGCAGCTCAGGGCTGTTGCAGGCCATGACGGGTCTGGGTCTTGGCATCTGAACATATTATTCTGTACTCTCAGTGGCATCCTGATGGGCCCATGCAATTTAAAGGAGGAAGCTGTCAGATCCAAATGCAGAGGGGATAAGAGCAGGACTGGTGGGGAGAGCTGATTGGTTCAAGGACTGGAGACTGGCAGGGAGAGGGCTGGGGGACTGGGAGTTGAGGTGGGCAGGGGGGGGGGGAATACTGGGTCTGGCTGGGCAAGGAGATTCTCATGAAAAGGGAAACGAGGGAGGCAGGGAAGGTGGGGCTGGGACCTGTAGGTGGATGGAAACTGAGATCAGATGCAGAGACCCAGTCTGACTGTGCAAAAAAATGGATCTGAGACCCCCGCAGGGCAGGAGAGGGAGGTGAGGGAAGACAGATTTAACAAGAAGCTGGAGGGGGAAGGGGGGGATTGAGACTGGCTGAGCAAAAGGTTTGAGACAAGGAGCTGAGAGAGAGGAACTAA